TCCATACCTTCTCTGAACATGTTATAAATTTTGATTTCGTCTCATTACAATATATTATTGATGATAAACATCTGCCAATATGTGAAAAAGTTAATAATTAGTGTCAAAATTCCCATTAATTTGCATGACAGAATACTTACAGAATCAATCACACTGGGTTTAGTAGTTGATTGCAGTCAATGACTATCTTATGTGAGAGTTATATATTTATTAGAGTGTTAATTAGTAACTAACAGACCAAAAAATTTAATTCGCAATTCGTGATAAATGGAAAGGATCGACATACATTTTAATAGTAAATGCAGGGATAATAAACATAATAAAATTACTTAGTAAAAATAATATTGAGCTGATTTTAATTTTTAAAAATTTTAAAATGACTAAACATCCCAATTTAACTGTAAATCTCATTTCAATAGGCCAAATAAAGCCACACTTGCACTATGGTGTAGATTCTAGAGAATGGTGGGTTATGAAGCGTAAAAGTAAACCAGAAGAAGGTGTGTTACTTTATCCGAGGAGAGTTGGTTGGGAAACAAGCATAGAACAAAATGGCAGACAATACTATACATGTATTTCTGAAGGCAATGAAAATAGTAATTTATTACCAGGATATAGATGTCATTCTGGGTGCAAGTTTAACCAATTCCATCAACAGGTTTGAATTAGTAGTTTTTTCTAAATAAAACAATAAACAAAAAAAATTTTTTTATATTCTATATTTAAATATATTAAAGTACATCATCATTAAAATCTATGTCTCAAATTACCACTTATTCTTTAGAACCAGGTATGGGATTGGATAAATTAAAGAAAGATGATATTAAAAAATTGTTGGATCAAAGAGACCTAAATTATGATGAAAAAAATAATTGATCAGATTTAGTTGTACTTTTAAGAACAAACATTGAATTTGAAACAGATAATAAAATAGAAGGTAATAATTATTTTTCTAAACACCTAAAAACTTGGCTAATTATATGTTTTTATTATCTAGAAGCAAAGAAAAGAATGGACTTAGATGTAATAATGGATGATAAGGATGGTATAGATAATTTACAATCAAGAAAAAAAAAATGAACTTATCTATTATATATAGAAGAACAATTTGATAATGCTGAAAAACATATAATAACAAGGTATTTGGGAAAATTTATAAAATTCTTGCTTATGTGTCCATTTATTTATATAGAAATTACTTCCCACTTGGCTGGGCTTTGAAAGAAAATCAGGAATTTGGAAAGAAAGGCGGTGGGAAACATGTCTGATAAAGTAGTTGAGTTATTAAAAACTTTTTTTCATACAGGCGATGCATGTAAAAGTGAATGATATACACAGTGAAACTCAATTTAGTGGATTTAAGGGTTTAATGGATAAAATTTCGGAACAGAATTTTTTTATTAATATGGAAATTCACAATTTTCCGTACACAAAGTTTTATTTAAAAAGGTCTGATTCATTTCATTGACAATCATTTCGTCGACATCATTTCGTCGAAAACTATTTCATCACAAAAAAAAAAACTTCATTAATATTAAACAAATTTCTCCACACACTTCCCACACACTCTGCTTTCCTCACCTAATTTCTTAACTAACTTCCCCCACTCCTCGCATCTAACTTGTTCAGTCTCTGGTTCAAAGATGAAATAATTTTCGATGAAATGAACATTCGATGAAACAAACTTTCGACAAAATGGGTGTTGATGAAATAATTTTCAACAAAGTATACGCGACTGATAAAACTGATGAAAAATTTCATATTTCACTTTAGAAAAAGCATCTTAGCAACTAAATTACAATTTAAATGGGTTCTTTTTTGATTTATGATATTACCAGCATCAGAAAAAAAGCATTCACTCAACATAGAACTTGCTGGTATTGAATGATATTTTAATGCAAGTTTAGAAAGGTATGGAAAAGCTTGTGTGTGAGCTTTCCACCATTCTAATGAACTTTCATTCTCTGATGCTAATGAAGATTTAAATAACTTTTTATTTCATCTAATGAATAATGATCATTTAACAAACCATTTTTTCTTTTACCCTTCAAGAGGCGATAATGTTTATACCCTTGATAAGAATGTGTTAATGAAATATCATTTATAAAATCAACTAATTGATGTTCATTCTATTTATATTCAATTCAGGTTTCAATTCATTGTATTCTATATAAAGCTGTTCTATTAATTGTTGTTTTTCATTCTCATCATCAATGCAATCTAATTTTTGTAATGAGAGTCCAAAAGAGTTGCTAATAATCCAAGGTCATTAGGGCCATTCCAATAATAGATTAATGAATCATAGATTTTTTCTTTGATTTTATTCAATAAATTAATTGTATTTATAGGATGCTTAATTGAAATTTTCTTTTTTGAATAATTACTTAAAACTTCTTCATCATCAATATCTGGGATTGAGTTTGTTTCATAAAGATCATTGAATTCACTGGTTGTGGTTTCATCCAATACTTCATAAAAATCTCCTAAATTGAAAATTAATTCCTTTATTGTTTGAACCATTTTACTTAAAGTAACGTAAGAACCACCTGAAAATTCACATGTGGCTTGCTCAAAATGCATTAATAAAGTTATTAATTCATCAATTAAATTCCATTCCTCATCTGATGGCATTATTTTTCTAAGCTTATTTCCATCTTTTTTTTCTTCTCTATTTGTTGATGTGTATAAATCTGTTTGAAGTTGAATAATTGCATCTTTTAAAAAGTAAAGACAATCAAATGCATAATATGAGGAGTTCCACCTAGTGGAAGCATCTTGTACCAATTTCAAGGCTTTTATATAAATACAAAACCTGGTTAATTGCATTCTTAATGCGTTGACGTTGGTGGTGGCATTGAAACGGTAGTTATTGACATTATATCAGAACCATTGTCATCATCTGTAATTCCGCCAGAAAATAAAATCTTACGCACAGTACACGCAATTCCAGACCTGAAAGTTAATAAAACATGGTTTAGTTGATATATATTTCCAGAATTTACGTGTGATAAATTTAACGGAATTGATGCAGTTACGAACAAGTTGTTTTTATCTAATCATTATATATGCCAGTGCCAGGCTCCTTTCCCATACACTGAATTCCTAGTACAGTACCAGCGACATTAATTGTAAAGATCGAACACTTGTTTCCTTTTAAGAAAAGCATCGATAGAATCCTTCGAAAGACAGTTGAGTTTTTATGATCTCGCAATTGTTTTTCAGCGGTAGAATCCGGTCGTCCCGTTTCAAGGTATCCAATTTCAACAGTTTCATTTTTAATCTTAACAATAACTGAAAAATCAGGTCTGCGTGCACGTTTGAAAGAACACTTTCGTTCTGCACTTGCAGAACTTGCCTTTCTCCCCTATATAATATATACGAATACATTGTTTTTTAAAAAAGCATCTAAAAGTTAAACAAGAAATTAGTCTGCTTACCATTCCACCCATGTATCAGCACCAATGGGTAAATCATCCATTACTATGTTTAATAATGGCGATAATAATTCACAAACATAACTACCCTCATTTATTGCGGGATGTTTTGTGGTCACATAAGATCGCTATTTTGGTGATGTCCAAATTCGCTCTAACACAGCTAACATCCTATCTGTCATATTTTGTAATAATTCCAGTTCATCCAAAAATTTTCCAAATCTTGCATTGCTAAGTTTTTTAACTGTTTTAACACATTCTCTCTCTTTACAGACAAATTGCTTACATCTACTTATTAACGTCTCGTCCACGGGTATTAAAAAATTTTTGCTTGGTTCATTGAATATTTGACGAGATTCTTCCGGTATATCAGAAATAGGCAATGTAGTATCATCCAATATATTGGAGCAAGTGGGGTGATTGTATCCCAATTCCTTTATTTGTATATCTTGTAATTTAACATCTATCTCACTCCACATATTTTTTTCTTTATGCTCACCAGAAACAGCAAGCTAAACTCAATGTTAATTTGATGTTATAATTTTTAAAAGAAATAACATTATATTTTTGAGTAGAATACATATTTTATGCACGTCCCGTTTTAATGATTCGAAATTTTTGGTGGCTTCTGTAACCCACAACAACTCCATGTTCTACGTATATATGATATATCTTTTATTAGCGAAGTTAGCAAGACTAAAAATTCTGTAATATTTGATAAGTAATATTTTTTAATAATTAAAATTTTACATCACAACCAATGATATAATTAAATTGTTGTAATTGTATTACCATTACCACGAAATATAATTAAATCTGTTGCAACGCATCATCATTAATTATAATTAAATTTGTTGCAATTGTGTCACCATGAATTATAATTAAATTTGTTGCAATTTTCCTGTGTCCTCATAGATTCATTGGAACAAGATTTGACTGTATATAGTATTGATCCATTACTTTCTTCCAGGGATTCATGAATTGAGATTAGTTAGTCTTTGACATTTCAATTGTTATTATCAAATGCTATAATGAAGGCACATTCAAACATGAAGTTGGTCCTATTTTCAATTATCTAATTAATTTTAGAAATGTGCTACTCATGTGGTATTTATCATTTCATTCTTTACTAACAATTAATCAAGAATGAATAAGTAAGTTAGTTTTATTAAATGCAGGGGGGAGGAAGAAAGTGAATGGACAAAAGAAAGAATTGTAAATACAACTATTAGAGAAATTGATTGAAAACCTGACTTTCAAGTTCTCTTCTTCCATAACAATAATCCATACAAGGTAGCATTCTGTGAAATAAGTGGTCCCCCTTCAGTAACTGACAGCAATAAGTTTCAAAGTGATAAAAATAAGCTGTGTCAACTTGCTGCTGACTCCAAGGCAAGGATTCTCAGCAAAATCCAAGATATTAGTAGCTTTTGCTAAGGTTTCTGGTCTAAACTGTTTTCTCAAAGCCCAAACTAGTTTGGGCAATTTTGGCTAAGAACAAAAAGTAGTTTGGGCTTATAAAAAAATAATTTTTGCCCAAAGTATTTGAGCAATTTTGGCCACTAATAGAAGCAGTTTTGGCCAGAAACCTTAGCTTTTACTTTGAAAATAATTTAAAAGATTTATTAAGTTGGCCAATTTATCTTCTACAATACTATGGTAAATATATTAAAACATATATATTGTATATATTAATTATATTCTAATATACCTAAAAATTTTTATAGAATCTCGTCTATATATATATAAATATGATCAGATCGTACTGGTAAAATTCGATAATAAATTAAATCCAGTTGGAAGCATGGTATTACTTGATAAGCTAAATTATAATTGTGAAAGACCATCTACCGGTGTATATTTAGAGTTGTATGTTAAAAATTTATTAAAAATAAGAAATATGATATCAATATCAATAGATGGTTTAAAAAAACATATAGATAATGCATTGGATTCAGTCACAACTCCTGAAGACCAGATATCAAAACCACAAATAGATTTTAATCTAACTTTATCTACACCATATAAATGATATAATGGTATTTAGTAAAATTTAAAGCATATAATAAAAATTAATTTTTCATATACATATTATCAATGACTCGTTCAACGTTCTATAGTGATGATTAGAGCTTGTGCCAGAATAATCAATAATAATTTATTATCATTGTTATTATTATTGTTATTGTCATCATTGTCATCATCATCAACACCATTGTTGTTGTTGTTGTTGTTGTTGTTGATTTCATTGGTGAAAAGAATTTTAGTTGATTGTGTTATAGTTGACTAAAAGAAATTTAAATTATAAAAAGTCAGCCAATCTCGAGCGGTTTTAGTTATTATCACCGTTAATTAATTAATTAAACACATACTAATACATATTTGTTATCGTTCCCCCAGGACGAAACCCTACAACCTGCACTATGTTGTCAATTTGGAATCTTTCGCCACCACCTCCACAGAATTTTTTAAAAATCAACTCGTTGTACTCTTGCACAGCAGTTTTAAATGCATTCCAATCACCCCATGGTACTCCAGTATTATTTCCATGTTCTATCATTCGAGCTAGGTACCAATGTAATGCAGCTTCTTTCATTCCAGTACTAGCATAGTAGCAATGAATTGCAACATCATTAATTCCTTGAGCAGCAAAAATTGTTTCAGCTTGTATTAACCGTTCTAAGCGCCGTCGTGCCCTTTAATAGATTTATTCGTTCCTATTAGCGATTTAACGTAAATAAATCCGGTAAAGATAGTGCAAATTGTTTTAGTTGTTAGTGGTAGTGGTAGCGGTAATGGTAACAGTAGTAGTGGTAGTAATGAAAAAAATTATTTTTTTTGCTCTTGGCTTTTGTCAATTTGATAATTTCTTTTTTTTTCTTTGGTTAAAATTGACCAGTTTGAAAGACAAAAAAAAAATTGTTTTATATTATAAATTAACTCGACTTTAACAATGATAAAACCTTTTGCCTAAAGCAAACTTTTGCGCTTACTCCAGATGATATTTGTGTTGATATTTTTGTTATTATTATTATTATTGTTATTATTATTTTGAAAGAAAATTTTTTGTTAATTTTAATATCGGAAATGAAAAATCCACACAAATGTTTATTAATATTAATATTGACACTGCGGTATGTACACTTTTCTTCATTTGGTAAATGATAAATAAAAAATGCTAATATTTGATCAATATATATATCTAACAATGAAAAAATTCACACTGCTTACATCGCGACAAACATTTCGATCACAAATTCCGTTCCGTACAAAATTAAAAATAATAATAAAAATAAAAAATGTACGGAACAAAAAAAAATAATGTACTAATTATAATATATATACTAGAGTATACGGAATATGTTGGTCACTGGGATTTTTTTTTTTTTTCTAGTTAAAAAATTTGGCAAGATTTTAAAATTTAATAAATAATAAATAATTATTTTAATTATATGGTTGGCTCGGTCTAAAGACCTCCTATTTCTGCACCACGTGGCCAAATTTCAAAAATAGCAATTTTGTAATTTGTTCAAAAATGCAATAAAAATTTTCGAAAATAGGACTT